TTTTTTTACTTTTATATTAACAGGTAACATTATAAATAAAAATTATGCTATAAATTAATTTTCCGCATATCATTATGTGCATAGGGCAGACAGGCATCCACTTTCAAGAGCAACAGCTTCGCAGCTACTTTCAGCAGCGGCATTTCTCCGGAAAAACCCCATGGTATGTGTTGAAAAAACAACGAGTCAAATCATGACCAAATGGTAGGTGGTAGAATTTTTCAAAAAAAGGATATTTCTTGTTCACGAAGTTTGAGAGATTTTAGATATCTTGAAACTTTCTTCATAATGGAAAAGTATACCAATGTGCCAAATGATACTGTGGTAGACTTTTCAATTTAATTTAAATCCTCTCAAAATTCTGATTATAAAGGTTTAAAACCATTATTTCCTTTCTCATTCAAGTGGGATGCTTGATAAGAATATTTAAAATGTACCTCTAGCTCAATGATCTCATTATTTTTATATGCCAATGAAGAGCATCATCCTCCAGCCAAAATCAACTAATCATCCTGTTTACACTTAATTTTGCAAAAAGTAGAATGGTGCCATGTATTATGCATGTTAGCAAATATTTTATTTGTTAAAAAATTATTTTGTTGATGTAGAATTCTCTCAAATAAAGTTTAGTGGTTGTTTCCACATCATCAACAAAACTCTTCATTTGTTGCAATTTTCCAAAAATATAATCGCAGCACTAATAGGTTAATTGATTTGTTACAAATTTTATGTTATCGTTAATTTTCAAGATGCTACCACGTATCTCCAGTATGTTGTCGAGGGATGTTTATTGCTATAAATACACATGAATTGAAGCAAAACAAACTTGTCTCTCACACAACAAACTTAGCATTTTTTCTTTTAATGATCAAGTTCATCTTAGTTTCAAGTCTTTTAGTTTAGTTTTAACTTTTTACTTTAGCCCACATTAGTCTTCAACCTTAGTTTAATGTCTTTTTCTTTAAACATCTTAAAAATTAGTTATAGTTCTTTAAGGAAACAATTCAATTCTTTTTTTGTTGGTTTTGTAATGGTAAAATTCATTAACTTCAATAATATTTCTTTATAATTGGATTGTTTCCTTTCTCTTATTGTTTTCTTAGGTTCTTCTATTGTTTTTCTATGTTCTTTTAAATTAATTGAGTGATGTCAATATTCAATTTTATATTCTGTTTTGTTTTTATTGATTTTTATTTTATGCTGCCAATAGACTTTTTATGTTTTTAACTCCATTTAGTTTAGCTTAATTTTTTTTCTATATTTAGTTTTCCTTTTGAAAACTTTATTTTAACTCAATCTATATATTTAAAATTTATTTAAATTTTTAGTAATTCGACAATTATTTACTTTTCTTATAGTTTTAATTTTTTTCAATTACATTAGTTTTGAGAGTCTTTAAACACATATCCAAGATATTTTATCATTTAATCCATTTAATATAGGAAGTTCATCCTGCCAATCATTTGATCATTAAGGCACAATTTACAATATTATTTTATCAACTCATAATTCAATTTTATGTTTGGAAAGAAAAGAGGTTCGTAAAAAAAAAATATTCTTTTTCATTTTGAACAAAACAAATGACACACTATTTTATCTATCATGTGCCAAAGAGATTTTTTGAGATAATTAACCCAAGGACTAAATCTAAAGGGAAATGATCAATACATGATACTTAGCATAATCAACTAGTTGGCTTTCTAATGACACTTAACATTAGCGAACACCTTTTTTTTTTTTTTGGCATTAACATTAGAGAACACTTGAGAGCAAGGTTGTTAAACTCAAGATCTTATCTAAAATTGTTTTAGTACGACGAAATTAAAATTGTAATATTGAATTGGTAAAATTAATATTTTATTAAATTTAATAAATAAATAATAAAAATTTACATTTTTATATTAATGTAATTAAAATTTAACAATAAAAAAACAAATATAAAGTTGAAGTTTACAGGAACTCGAACCATAGCCAACTTTCAATATTATAATAAGTGGTAATATCAAAAATAAATAAATAAAAAGAAAAATTATTGTTTAAATTAAACATATTCACTTTTTTTATCCAAAAATTTTTTCTAGAAAAATTGGAGAAAACAAACACCTAATCCCATCTGCCAACGTAATCCCATTAAAGGTAATACCCCTCGATCCATTCATCTTCCTTGTTTTCTCCGCTCTTATTTTCCTTCTTTTCTACCATTTTTGCTTTATTTAAGCTTGCTTTCTCTTTATCTACTTTTTTTGCAACAGATTTTATCCTTCTTTGCTTTCACGAATCCCTTCAACCTGGCTTACATTTTTGCTCCATTTGAGCTTCTTTTCTCCCTGTTTCTTTGCTCCTTTTGGAAACAGATCATTAGTAAGAGTTTCTAAATCAAACAAAGGGAAGTTAACACCTGAAATTAGAAGCATGGGCGGCATTTTCAAAGCCAATCCGTTGGGACCCAATGCAAAAAGTCCAGATTTTGTAAACTCCCAGGTTCATCCGATTTCAAACAATTTTACGAGTTTACTGCAAGTCTACCACGAGTTCTTGGAATCCGATTTTATAGACGATTTTACTAGTTTTCCATCCCTAAGAACGTAAAATTGTACGATTTAATGAGATAACTCCCAATTTTGACAACAATGCTCGAGAGTAACGTGCTTTGTAACAATTAAAAAACGACAATTCGCTACCAACAGGGGTTTTCGTTTTCAAGTTCACAAACTTATAATAACATTTGAGCATTACGAGCGAGGGATGGCACTAAGATGAAGATGGATATAACATAAAAATTGCAAAATATTACTACAAAGTTCAGTTGTTTGAATCACCAAGTTGATGACAAACTAGCTTCATCGAGCATCTTGCTGAGCTTTGAACAAAGTAAGGACTTTAACCATACTACTGGGAACTTGGGAAGTGGATTCATAGTCATACCAAATATCATAACTTCAGAATTGGGACTTGTCGAGGCTGTCAAAGTAGGGATGTTCCATTGCTGCTTTTGCTGATATTCTCTCTGCTGGATCATATTTAAGCATCTTCTGCAATTACCAAACATAGGATGTTATTAAGTCAAAATTTATTTCAGACAGGTCAATGAATGCCTTCTACTTATGCAAGCCATCCACGCTATTCTGCAACAGTATCAAGAAATATTGTACTATTCTTCTGGCCATTTTGAACTCATATTGCTCCACAGTCCAGACGCTGAATTCTAAAGAATACAATACAAAATATATATAGCCGGTAAAGTTTTAATAGCAAAACCTAGGAACAGAAGCACCCAGATAGATATGCCAATTAGAGTGTGATAACACTGAATGAAATTTAATTTAACTAGAAATATTGCCCTTCATTGACAGAGTATGCTGAAGTGAAATATTCATCTTCCAAATATCAAGTCAATTTTCTTATCAATTCAAAACAATTAGAAGAAAAAAAAAAACAGGAAAAGCTATAGAAAGAGACCTGCAAGCTACAAAACTGTTAAGGAACTAAAGCAAACGAGGAAAATTTATGAAAAAAAGCAAGCGTGAGAGGACACTTGTACAGCACATGGAACTTCAAAGTTCCAAGACTTTTAATATTAAAAGAATATAAATGATTTAGGCACAACATTGTGCCACAATCCCACGTGGAAGGCCACAGTAGAAAGACCATGTGGGGCATCCATGTTGGATTGAGGCACAACATTGTGAGCCAACATTATGCCCAAATCACATCTGTTGAGAGAAACACTAATGCACAAATCCTTGTACACTACACTTTCATTCTCACTATCTTGCTCCAGACAAGTAGAAATCTTGTTTATTCTTTGTTTTACCCTTTTCTCACTGACACATTTCCTTTCCTTTTGTAACTTGTTGGTACAATCTATTTCACACTTTCCTTCTCCTCACTGAATTCTCTCTTTATTCTCTCACTTGGCTTGCTTTTCTAGATGCAAGCATAGATTATTTATGGGTGAAGTCAGTTTGCTACTAGCTTTCCTACTACAGATTAATCTACAGAAATCCTGTAATTTTCCTCCTTTCATAGTAGTAGAAGCCTGTAATTTTCTCCTTTGTTTTTGCAGTAAAATTTCTAGGCTTCTAGAGAACTTACGACTCTATAACAGTCAGTGATGAATTCAACACCACCCTTAGCACTCTTTCCTTGGCCATATTGCTCTCGGTAATGACTTCAACAGGAGTAATGACATGGTGCAGCTAAAGACTGTTCAATTTTCTTATCCACTACTTAAGTACAATACAGAACAGCAGCCATGGCAACCCAGGGGAATAACATTCCTAATTGTATAAGATATTTTTGTTGTGTCAGCAAATGAGTTCAAAGCCCTTGCCAATAAAGTCACATGGTTTACATGTCTTACATGTGACTTCAACAAAGGGGCAGAAGGCTGAAAGCCTGAAACTCATTCGCCACCACAACAATCTCCCATCCTGTCCCATAGTTGGAGACACACATGACTCCTCGCCTGCAGTTCATCCTAGCCAAAACTCACGCTATTGGTGTAGTAAGCAGATTCTTCATTGTTGTCTAATCCAGACAAGTGTCATTAAGATTCTAGAAACTTATCTAATTCCATGATGCCTTCTTTTTCAACAGATATACCCAACAAAGGACTGTGATTGCATGATATGATTCCGCAAGCATCAAATTAAATAAAGTTGGAATGTTCTACAAGAAAGGCATTACATACCGATAGAAGGTCGACTCCATCAGGACCAAGAGAAGGAACAGCACGTGCCAAGTTCTGAGGCTCCCACTGTGGGTAGACATGCCAATCCCTCAGAGAGGTAACGCCAGGCCACTGCTTCTCAGTTGGAGTCCCAAGCAACCTTTTGAGATTGAAACAATCAGTTTTTACTCTCCTCAGCAAAACCGCATATAAAGTGTAGAGGGGAAGACTGACAAACAGAATATAATCATGAACCTGAAAATATGAAGCAATTGCTGGAACTCGGAATCCCCAGGAAATAAAGCTTGCCTTCTTACCATTTCGGCTGCGAATGTAAATATTGGTGAGGAATTTCGTCGAAATCCAGGACAGGGCAACGTAATATTTGACGGGATAATGATACTAATTTATAATCAGAAAAGAAGATAAGGAAACTCACCGAAAATGCAGCCGACTGACCACATGTCAACTGCAGTGGAGTAATGAGTGGAGCCAAGGAGAACCTCGGGAGCCCTGTACCAGAGAGTAACAATCTCGTGAGTGTAACTCTTGAGAGGAACGGTGAAGGCGCGGCCAAGTCCCAGATCAGCGATCTTGAGGATGCCTTTCTCCTTGTCAAGCAGGAGATTCTGCGGCTTGAGGTCCCGATGAAGAACGCCGTGGCTATGGCAGTGGGCAACCCCCTTGCAGAGCTGGTAAAGAAAACTCTGGATGAGAGACGGAGGGAGGGGCCTCGGATTGGGGCCCTTGCGGTGGGAATCGATAAACTTCTTGAGATCAGTGTCGAGATACTCGAAGACAAGGTAGAGGTTGGCCTTGGTACCGCCGTTCTTGTTGGTGTCGACGTGCTCGACACAGAGGAGGCGGACGACGTAGAGGGATTGAGAGAGCATCTGGAGGAGGGAGACCTCACGGAGAGCGGTGGGAGGGACGCCTTCCTCGTCCATTTCGAGCCTGGTCTTCTTGAGGGCAACAAGCTGACCGCTGGCCTTGTCTTTGGCCTTGTAGACCTTGCCGTATGTGCCTTCGCCGACCTTCTCAAGTTTCTCGTACTTGTCCATGGTGGGGATCGGAGTGGGAGGAAGGGAGAGAGAGGTGAGTGTGATTGAGGAAACCCTAGAATTGGTGGATTGGAATTTGAAATGGGGAAGAAGGCGCTCTTTCTCTTAAACCGTTGGGTCGGGGTTAGGCGGGGAGGTGCGTCTGCGCAAGTCTGAGTGGGGATGGATTTGAAATTCAAAATCGAGGGAAAAGGAAAGGGTATCTTGATGCGATCAAACAAATTCTGATTTTAGATCAGACGGTTGGGCGCATCTGTCTTGGACTCTTGCGGCTGGCGATAACAATTATTATTATTTAATGAATATAGTATTTATTCGTTTTATTTTTTAAAAATTATAAAAATGGAACTTATTATGGATTAGAGATGCGAAGGAGAACTTGGACTCAAACCCAACAGGGTTATGAAGAAATTGGTCTTGGGGCCTTTGGGCTTTTATTTGTTCTGCTTTTCCTAAAACTTACGCCTTTTGGGGTCATGTAGTTCAGTTGTGTTTCGGGTCCTCATTTCAAGTTTCACAGTCAGGTTAGGTGTATTAGGTATACCAAACAATTAATTATTACTGTGTTACTTAAATTGGTACTCAATCTAATCAACTGACAATAACCACTTGCGCCTCTAATTACTTCACCTCCCCCTTCAGTGTGACCTCCTTGTAATCCAAAAGGAATACTGTCTATCCATGTGGGACTGTTTCGCAGTAGCACGCAAATTGATAAAACAAACAACGAAATTAGCATGGGGCTTGCGGGTATAACACATTATCATTGAAAGAAACTAAGAAAGCGTTTCAGTTACATGTCTATTAACGTTGAAGTTCAGTTTTTTTTTTTTGGCACTTATTTGGCCTGTTGGCCGGATAATAAAAACTCAATCCGCAGGCAGCCGCCTGGCATAATCAGTTCAAACTTTGAAGACATAATTCAGGCTATATTTGTTGTTCCATGCTATCCTAGTTGTCAACCACTTCAATGAGTGACGGTTCATAGTCGCTGGGAGCAACAAATCCATGCAGATTCATGACAGTTGCAGCCACATTGGCAAGTCCACCACCAGGCACGTCCTTGCGGAATCTAACACCAGGAGCCAACCCAGGACCTCCAATTGCAATAGGTACCTAAGTTTCTCCATAGTAAATTGCATCAGCAAATGAAGTAGGCTTTTTTTTTTTTAAAGGTACTTAAATTAACTACAGCCAATATGTCTTAACAATTCTATCCTCATTTTCATCTGGAGTAGGATCTCATTTTCTTCTTTACATGAAACCTTGGGAGTTCAATTCAAGTCCTATTGTGCAAGTTTTCATCCATCTTTATGTTTATTCTTATAATTTGTGATTTTTAAGAAACATATTGTGTAGTTGTAAGATATTGTTTGGTTGACATGTCATGTACTTGATATTTGTTTTATTTTATTTTATTTCATTTCATTTTCAACTTGTACTTAATCCAAAGAAAGATCTGGGAAGTGGGAACTTACCGGTTGACAGGTGTGAGAAGTGAGAATTTGAACGTTGCCATTCTTGTCTTTAGATGGCTCGCCAAATTTGTTCCTCTTAACCATGTCTTCAGCATTACCATGATCTGCAGTCACAACATAGATTCCACCAACTTGCTCTATGGCATCAAGGATAATCTGTAAACCAAAAATGTGTAATCGAGTAAGAAAAAGCTCCACTACAGGAAAAGAACAATAAATGTGAGTACTGTTGAAAATGGTTTGTAACCAAGGTTTCATATCAGATATTTTCTGTGAGGAAAGAAAACTATTCCTATCATTAATTTCTTATACCCTCTCTACACCGGCATCCAGCAAAGGATTACAAACTATTTCTGCCGTAGCAATCATACCTTAACAGCATCATCAGCAGCCTTGCACGCCACAATGGTGGCTTGAATGTCACCTGTATGCCCCACCATGTCACCATTTGGCAAGTTAACACGTACCTAGAACAATTTGAAAAGGGATTATCAGTACCATGAAGCAACTTTAAGACCATTCTCAAATATTAAATGAGAACTCCACTAATTACCTGCTGGAATTTTCTGCTTAGAATAGCATCCCTAGCCTTCTCAGCAATCTCTATTGCCTTCATCTTAGGTTGGACATTGAATGTAATGCCAACATCACTGGGGATTTCCACATATTCCTCCATAAAAGGATTGAAATACCCAGAACGGTTTCCATTCCAGAAAAAAGTGACATGACCAAATTTGACTGTCTCACTGTGGGGGTTGAGGGATGGTATAAACAAATAAGTTAATATAACAATGAATGACAGACAACAATGTAAAGAAATGACAAGCCCTATAAAGAATAAACCTCAACCTGCATTGACATTTCATATCATTTATGCGTAAAACATGTTAATCAATTTTGAGGAAAAAAAAACAAGTGGAACTGACCTGCAGGCAAAAGTATGGACACCATTGTGCACCAAATATTCACCAGATGTTCTCTCTATCTCTGGTGGAGAAACAAGGTAACGGCTTGGAAGCTTCAACTCACCATCATACTGAAGCATTCCAGCATAATGAATCTTAGGGTATCGCACTCGATCAAATTTGTCAAAGTCTTCATACTCCAGTGCCTTGGCAAGCATAACCATGCGATCTGCTCGGAAATTAAATGTGACAACAGCATCTCCATCCACAATTGGACCCACAGGCTTCCCACTCTCATCAACAACGACAAAAGGAGGCAAGTATTGATCATTGGCTTTGGGATCTTCCCTCAGTTTCTTTACAGCTTCAACAGCATTCCTAAATTTGTGTGGGGCTTCACCAAGAACTTGAGCATCCCATCCACGCTTCACGACATTCCAGTCATTCTGCAAAATATTTGTCCACAAAAATAATTATATGTGCTGAATTAGTCTTTTTCAAAATGGGTAAAATTTTCCAATCGAATCATTAATGAAAGTTGAATGAACTGAAAACAAAGGGGAAGAAGCAGCATGCCATGATACAGAAGAATAAATGGAGACCAGCATGAACCACTAAAGGGAGACCCATCTATACCCAATATGTATTTTTTATTTTTTACTTTTGGTAGTAAACCCCCTGGTATCTGAAAGTCACATTGGGCTCCGAATAATCTGAAGTCAAGTCAGGTCAGACCCATAGGAGGAAAGCTCTCCTAGCACCTGTCTCTCTATTCACAAGACTCAAACTCTCCTAGCACCTGTCTCTCTATTCACAAGACTCAAACTCAAGACAAATCTTAAAGGGAACCGAGCTCCTTCCACTTGAACCAACAAGTTGTTGGTCCAATTTGTATTTTTAATAAACATACAATAAGCTATCTTTTTTTCCTGTTGCATGGAAGGATGAACACCAGATGGATGCAAAACATGTAGATCATACTAATCTGTCTGCATTTTTTTTTGTTTTAAGAATCAAAGTAACATGTGGGTAATGTGTTCAAAAGAAATTAACCATCCACTACTTTCTGAAAATAGAACAAATCTATAATTACAATTTTACTATTTCTCACCTCATAGCGATCCATTGTTACATACATGCGGCCTCCACCAGAAGCAATCTGGGCATCAATACCTTTCCTGCGTAACTCTGCAAGGTCATTCTCAAGAGTTTCCACAAAACCTACACTTGAACCATCCAAAACATCACGCCCATCAGTAAGAATGTGGACACGGATTCTTTTAGCACCATGTTCACTGGCTCCCTTCAGCAACAACTGCAAAACCAAAAAAAGCAAATACAAAATTAACTCAATATTTCCATTACAAAGTCAACCATTAAAAAGAAACAGTGCCTCAACCTTTGAAAGGTAAAACAGAATTGACTCAATACCTGCAATTGATCTAGACGGGAGTGGACACCACCATCACTCAGCAATCCAATAAGGTGCAATGTTCCATTGTTAAAGCATTCACTTATGTATTTAAATCCTTCTCCCTCATATATTTTTCCAGATGCAAGAGCAAGATCAACGAGCTTAGCCCTGTCATCAGAAATTTAAATTAATCTCCTCAGTTATTGCTCAAGGTTCACAATGACAAGAAAAGCAATGCAATGCAGGCAGCAAAAGACATACCAAAATGAGATGAGTGAAAATACAAAGCATGGTCACAAATTTTACATCAAAAAACATAAGCAACTTCATAAATGTGAAAACCCATTAAATTTGGGAGAAAAAGGCTCACCCTTGAGCATAAATACGCCCAGCTCCAAGTGCATTGTGACCAACTTCACTGTTTCCCATGTCATCCTCAGTTGGAAGCCCAACTGCAGTTCCATGAGCTTTAACCAATCTCCATCTATCAGGGGCACCCTTTTAAGGATAACAACATGGAAATGTTAGAATGGATCTTCATATTTAAAACAAGAGTTTGAAACAGGAACCACTAGATGGGGGAGAAAGCCCTCAATATTAAGGCGCCTGCCCCCATCCAATAGGTAAACTAGGATAGTCCAGACTGCACAATTTTTTTTTTTTATATATATATACAATGCCAAAATACAATAAATAAAATCCTTTCTATGATTACCTACCAATTTCCCAAAATAGAAACCTAACAACCGCCATCAAAATCTCATTTTTATATTTTGTTATCCATCAGGTGAGCACAATTGCCCGAGAAAATAAAAGGAGTATTCACAGAAACAAATCATAAGAACCGCAAACCTCAATCGACCCATGAGAAGAAATAAATAACCCAACAAAAGTCACAATTTGCAAAGGAAAGTAGAAAGGTCAGTAGCAAAGAAGAGCAAGATAGAAGTGTAAACAAACCTGTTTGAGGGAGTTCATGGTATGAGTCTCGGCGACATGGATGCAGTTGTACTGATCGGGCTTGTTCTCGCCCCACCCGTCGAGAACCACAAGGCCGATGACCTTGCCCTTGGGCAACTTTGGGTGGTCCTCCAATTTCCAGGC